TCTATAAATTACATGGGAATAGATATCATTATGAAAAAATAATGCGTCTTTTTTTAGATCAACCTTACCTCAGGGGCCTGGTTGTAATTTACGATTTTTTTTTAATAACCCAACTTGCACGACTAAGATTTAGTTTGATCAACAAGATTCTTGAATTGGTCGACAAAAGAAAAACAAGATTCTTGAATAAAAAACTTTTATACATTTTGATGACGAGACAATCAATTTATTTACTTCATTAGTAGATCTAATTAATCTCAGTTGCGATATTAAAATGTCATAATATGAAATTAGGGGGGGGAAAGCAATTAGATTAATATGTAGTTTTAGGGTCAATCTCTCTGTTCTAATCCTCAGCAATTGTTCACAAATTAAAGATAATGATTTTTTAATTCTTTTTTTTTTTTTTTTTTTTTTTTCATTCTATATTATATATATATAATGTCGATTTTATGGTTGACTCAACCAACCGCGTGAGGACTAATGATGAAAGGACAGCCTAATTGAAATTGTAGATGAATTATCGTTTAATGTTTCAACAAATATATTAAATATTAAGAAAAGTAAAATAAATAAATATAAATCCTAATTTTAGAATATATATATATATATATATATATATATATACATACTGAAGTAGATCCTTCCATCTAATTTATCCGTTTATGAGATGCTACATCTGGTAAAAATGCATCGGATGATTTTGCAGCGGCTAAGAACACATGCATATGTGTGTGTTATTATGTGTAGATAATTATAAGAAATCATCTCGTGTATTTCACCGAGTGTAACTTATCGATTTCTTAGTACCCCTATTTCTGATAAACAATGTATTATCAAAATTTTAGAATAACACACACACACACACACACACACACACACACATATATATATATATATATATATATATATATATATATGAGTTTGGGAAAATTTTGTTTTTATTGAATGATGTGAAAAAATATGTTACTAAAATGAAAGTGAAACAAAAATAAAGGATCAAAATGGAATTTACAATTAGGTGGGGTGCTATAGACTAAATAGTGTGACCAACAAAAGTGTAATTGGTTAACAACCTCATTCAACCACTAATTCCATTCTCTCAATTACTAACCTTTCAATTCAACTACTATTATTAATTAATATATAAATTTAATATATAACTTTGATTTATTGTGAATTGGAGTCATAAAGAATTAACAACTATATTAAAAATGTAATTATATAATACCTAATTCAATCTAATCAGTAAGGATTAAACGTTGATACTTGGTCTTGAATATCAGATTCATGGTTTATGGTTGAAAGTTTGTCTACTCCTTACATTATATTTTTTGAGCAAATTATTTAAATTTTAATTACTTTATGGTTAAGAGACGTTCTATTTATAGGGTTAAATATAAATTGCATCCATGCACTATCACAATTGTCGCATATACCCAACGCATTACAAAATGCGATAAAGTGGCCTATCAATTTAACGGCCAACCGTCAAATTTCTAACACTGTTAGTTTATGTAGCGTATTATCCTTTTTACCCTTACATTTATATAATAGAAATAATATCATTTTTTTTTTTACTTTATTACTACGTAAGCACTTTGATTGCATCGACGAGTGATTCTAGAAAAATATGTCATGTAGTATTTGTACTTTAAAAATGAAATGTATTTATTTTTGAGAATTAGAATTACGATAAGCATTTTTGAGATTTTTCGAGCTGAAAATAAAATTATAAAATTTTAGAAATTTAAAATGAATTTGAAAATATAATCCAAAATAAAATAAATTAATAAATTTTGGGTGAAATTTTTAGGCTCATAACAAAATTGCAAAATTTCATATATTTAAAAGGAAATTATAAATAATTTTCAGAATATAACTTTTTTCCTTCAGAAAATATGGGCGAAATTTTTAGACTGCGGAAAATAAAATTAGAGAAGAAACATGACAAAAATTGGGAGTAAATTGAGCGAAAGAAAGAAAGTGATATACGCCTTTCATACAGAACCAGAGGGGTATATTCGTCCGAAATTGTCCAACATCTAGTATAGTGGTCGGTCAAGTTTGAAAAATAATAAATTTTGTAACATGGCTTGACGGCAAGGGCCATATTGTCACATTTTGTAGTATATGGGATACATGCGAGAGTAGTAAATTTATATGGGTGCAATTTATATTTAACCCTTATTTCTACTTAAACTCTTTATTTAAATGTCGGCATCTAAAACAAATTTTTTAATTATAATCTTTTTATTGAATTGCAAAGGACAAATGTGCCCTTTATTTTTTCATGTCCTATATTATTTAATATTAATAATACAATCTCTCTAGATGAGAAATTGAGAATAAAATACCAAGTCATAAAATTTGTCTTTGAACCAATCATGCAATTCGTTGGTAGGTGTCATTATTTTGATGACTTGGTAATCAAAGCCACCAAGCAAACATGATTATTTATTTTCTATGTACAACCAATTTTTTACTATTGTTAATTAATTTATTATTTAGATAATACATACTACTCATTTACTTTTATTTCTTTGTGGCAACTCAAATAAAATTGTTGACATTGGATACTTCCAACACAAGAAAAAGTCATCACCATCTTATGTAATTTACATTTACAAGTTTTCAGAACCGAGTCGAACTTCATATCTTATCGAACCAACACACTATATTCAATCATTTTATTATTATTTTATTATTTAGTAATTGTACTGAATATACAATCGAAACCAGCCAAATTCTATTAATATAGTGAATTATTAATTTACATTATCGAATCAACACATTATATTCAATCGTTTAGTTATATTTTAATTTCTAGCAATTTAAATATATATATATTCGGAATCAACAAAATACTATTAATTTGATTAATTATTAATTTATTGAAATACTAACTTTAGCACGTTTTCTTCGAATCAGTATCGCAATTTGTTTTTTTTTATTTTAAATAAAGCTATTAATTTACCGAGGTTGTATTTTATAGTGAAAAGATTAATTATAGCAAGTAGAAATTAATCAATTAAACAAAGAAAAAAAAAAGTATTGATAAATAAATAATTAAAGAAACGACATTTATTTTTTCAAATACCAAATAGTCTTTCCATATTGACCCCGCCTTCTCCAATTTTCAGAACTCCCAACATGCTTTTTTCCTCCGCCACCAACCACCACCGCCACCGCCACTGACGGCGGCGCAACTAAGCCCCTCCACTTAGAATTTCTCGTGACGAACACCATTTTCACACCATGGGAAACTGCAACGTCTGCTTTAGACCTTCGGAAAGCGAGCCGTCAACTCCCATACGACAACAACCACCACCCAGAAAAAAACCGCCGCCGCGCGAGCGCTACCCAAACCCTTACGGCAACTCGCCCACCCCGATCCGCGTGCTGAAGGACTTCTTCCCCAGGACCAGAATCTCCGACAAGTACATCCTCGGCCGGGAGCTCGGCCGCGGCGAGTTCGGGGTGACCTACCTCTGCACGGACCGCGAGACGCGCGAGGCGCTCGCGTGCAAGTCAATCTCGAAGAAGAAGCTGCGCACGGCGATCGACATCGAGGACGTCCGCCGCGAGGTCGCCATCATGTCCAGCCTGCCGGACCACCCCAGCGTCGTGAAGCTACGCGCCACCTACGAGGACAACGAGGCCGTCCACCTGGTCATGGAGCTCTGCGAGGGCGGCGAGCTCTTCGACAGGATAGTGGCGCGTGGCCACTACAGCGAGAGGGCGGCCGCCGGCGTCGCCAGGACCGTCGCCGAGGTGGTGAGGATGTGCCACCACCACGGCGTTATGCATCGGGATTTGAAGCCGGAGAACTTCTTATTCGCTAATAAGAAGGAGAGCTCTGCTCTCAAAGTCATCGATTTTGGCCTCTCTGTATTTTTCAAGCCTGGTAAAATTCAATTTGGGGATTTCATTTCAATTAGGTTTCATTTCAATTTCAATTTCATTTCAGTTTCATTTCAACTTCATTTCAAACTCTTAATTAGGGGAAAAATTCTCTGAGATTGTGGGAAGCCCATACTATATGGCACCAGAGGTACTGAAGAGAAATTACGGACCCGAAGTCGATATCTGGAGTGCCGGCGTAATCCTCTACATCTTATTGTGCGGTGTTCCCCCCTTTTGGGCAGGTATATATATCTGTATATATCTATCTATGTATCTATATTTGTTCAGTTATTGTGCTATTTACGAAATCGAACCTTTTGACTGAGTTTTAATGAAAACTGATTCAGAAACGGAGCAAGGCGTTGCACTAGCAATATTAAGAGGATCGATCGATTTCAAGAGGGAGCCGTGGCCTCAAGTTTCGGAAAGTGCGAAAAGTCTCGTTCGGCAAATGTTGGATACGGACCCGAAAAAGCGTTTGACAGCCCAACAAGTTCTTGGTGAGTTTTGTATTAATGATTTACGGAAAGTATTGATAAAGTGAGAGAGCATGTGGCTACCTTTTTTCTTACAAATGATGATGGGCAACATGGTGATGAAGGAAAAGGGTTGCATCGAGCATGCAGAGTTGTGTATTATTTTACGAGTTTAGTTTGTCGAAAGCAGACGGTATTTGGGCCAGCTACTTTATTTTTCGCATAAGCAATAATTAAATGGAAAAAGTTGTTAACTGAAAAGCTTCAAGTATGTGTTAGCATTTACAGATATGCTACTTTTTCGATTTTATAAGATAAAAAGTGTGCTAGTTTTATAGATTAATTGAGTAAATTACGACCACCCCGAGGTAAGGTTATTATGAAAAGACCCCTCTTGTTTGGGTAATTACAATTACCTCCCTCAATTATGAATCTGTTTACATGTCCACCCTTATGGTGTCAAATTCAACAGAATCATCTCGATTCCGTGGAATATTCTCTAGTTTTTACTCGTTTTGTTCGAAGATGCAGTTTCTAATACAACACAATATGATATTTACAAGTTAAGAGACACATCTTATGATCATCTTATTTCGAAATGTGGTGCTGGAATGGATAAAACGGAGACAAACTGGAGAAATATTCCACATAATCTAGAAGATTCCACTAAATTTGATCCCATAAGAGTAGACGTGTAAGAAGATTCATAGTTGAGAGGAGTGGTTGTAATTACCCAAACATGAGGGTTTTTTTCATAATTTTACCTTACCTCATGGGGATGGCCGTAATTTACCCTTTATTTATTTTATTTCGCAACTCTGTTAATCTTCCTATTAATTTTAGAAACATATACCTAATCCATACAGTTTTGTGCTTCTTAAGTGTCCTGCATTTTATTTATTTAAGAAAATGAATAAAATCTTCGGTATATTTTCCTACATTTCCTTTAAAAAGAATTTTAATTGTAAGAAAAGAATCCACCAAGTGGTTCCTTCTTGTTCACATGAACTTCTTAACACGGCGGCTTATCGTTTAGTTCTTTATTTATTTATTTTTATTCTAAAAGTGAAGGTTATTGAGAGCATAAACCCCACAAACGGAGATAAAAAAAACCGTGCTCATTTTTGCAATGCGACGGTTTATGCAAAGCTGTAAACGTAATTTTTCACTTTGTCTTTGTCAGATCACCCGTGGATACAACATGCAAAGAAGGCTTCAAATGTTCCACTAGGCGACGTTGTCAGGGCAAGGCTCAAGCAGTTTTCCGGCATGAATAAATTCAAGAAGAAAGCATTGCGAGTAAGCATTACTATTTAGCTATAGTAGGTGGTGGGCCCCACAGATAGGTATAAGATTGTTATCTTATTTTGTATTTTAATGATTTTTTTTTTCTGCAAATAAATAAAATAGGTTATAGCGGAACATTTATCGGTTGAAGAGGTCGAGGTAATGAGAGACATGTTTGCTTTGATGGATACTGATAATGACGGGAAGGTAACATACGAAGAACTTAAAACTGGTCTTCGGAAAGTCGGTTCCCAGCTGGCTGAGCCCGAGATTAAGTTGCTGATGGATGTGGTAAATATCAATCCTCCATTAAAAAAAAATCGAATTTAATTTCTGCTCTGATGCTCTTATTACATTATCCTATGTTTACGAAATTGTAGTACAGACTAAAGCCATCGCTGAATAGTACACATAATATTCCAATTCTCGACTACCAAATTTCTTTCGAAGTTCCATTCACTTGCTTTATTATGTCCAAATGATTAAATTTTACCGGTAGTAAACTATGATTAAATACGAGGGTCAACTTTTATCTTTAGGACTCGTTTGGTTGGGGAGATTAGCTGTGATTAGCCAAATAATTGGATTTTGTTAGATGTTTGGTATACCTAATAACTTCCCGGATCGACCCGATAATATTATGCTATCATGGATCATGGGGGGATATTATAACATGTCGAGAATCTCTCAACCTTGTAAAAAAGAAAATGAATTTCTTGTGATATTTGTGCAACTATTCTTTGGTGGGATGCCTCTAAGATCAAGACTATCAATTGCTTATTTCAAGACTTGTTCAAATGTATGATTTAACAGGCTGATGTTGATGGAAACGGAGTGTTGGACTATGGGGAGTTTGTTGCAGTTACAATACACTTGCAAAGGATGGAGAACGACGAGCATTTCCGGAGAGCGTTTATGTTCTTCGACAAAGACGGGAGTGGATATATCGAACTCGACGAACTAAGAGAGGCTTTAGTAGACGAATCTGGCGAAACTGATGTTGATGTAATAAACAACATCGTGCGAGAGGTCGACACAGACAAGGTTTGTCCGAATACCTTTTCCAAATTTGCGTAGAGGGTAGTAATACACACGCACGCACGCATGCACGCACACATGCACAATCACACACGTTTGTGGCAATTAGCTAATTGGCACAAAATGGACTAGTAATTGTCATCGTCATCATTGGATTAACTCATTCATGTTTCCCATGAGCAAAAAAGAAAAAAAAAAGGGATACTTTTTACCCCCTTCCCATTTTAATTGTCGTTTTGAGTTGTTGCGCTTATATTAAGAAACTCGAGTAATATGCGTAGATTATAGCAAAAAAAATAAATAGGAATTCACTAAAATACCCTTGTCATTAATTGCTTGTCAACTAATTATATTTCAATTAATTAAGAGTGATAGAAGGGCAAAATTGGAAATAGTGCAATTAAATGCTTCATCGGAATTCTAAAGTGATGAATAATATGGGAAGGATGGAGTATTTTCTAAGGGGCATGCTAAATCCCACACTAAAATTTACTAAATCCCACACATAATTTAAAAAAAATTCTCTCTCTACTCAAAGTCTCTCTAATTTCTCTCTAAAATGATTTTATCCAACTCACTCAAATTCATTAATTTTTTACGTGAATAATCATAAAAAATGAGTTCCGTTTTATTTAATATTTATTCAATTTCATTAAGCCTTTTTAAATATTCAAATTTATATCAATTCAAATATTTTCCTTAAATTCCAACTTTATTTTAGTTTGAACGTGTGAATTTTTTGTCAAATTCGAATTTGGAAAGCTAGGGATGTTTTTAGTGTGTGATTTTGTGAAAAAAATTAGGGAAAAAGAAGAAGGGTGGGAAAGGAGAAGAGAAGATTTTGGAGAGAGAAATATTTTTAGTTACGTGTATGATTTGGTGAAAATAGTGTTGGATTTAGCATTTCAGATTTTCTAATGCCATTGGAAATTAAAAAAAGAAGTGCATACATTTTCCAAAATTGCATAGAGCAGTAGTAAAACTCACACACACACACACACACACACACACACACACACACACACACACACACACACACACACACACACACACACAGGCACATACACATTTGTGGAATTAGCTAAGTTGCACAAACTCATTCAATTTATCTGTGAGCAAAAAGAACGACAGGTTTTATTTCCTAACTCCCTTTGGAAACCAAAAAAACTGCATGCATTTTCCAAAATTGCATATAAAAACTTACCATAAATTTTGAAATTTGATGTGCAGGATGGTCGAATTAGTTTCGATGAATTTGTTGGGATGATGAAAACTGGAACGGACTGGAGAAAGGCGTCGAGGCAATATTCAAGAGAGAGGTTCAAGAGTTTGAGCCTCAATCTAATGAAAGATGGCTCTCTTCAGCTACACGATGGCTTCACCGGTAAATCTGTTGTCGTTTAAATAATTTCATAACTAAAAAAAAAAAAAGTTACTATCTGCTATTTCTTGATAGACGAAGCTTCTGAGTTTGCGGTATTCTTGGTTCACATTCGTGGGATTTATTGGCTGTTTTCGAACAACAAAGGAATGGGATTTTCGGGATGATGGTTGGTATATGAAAAGTTTTTATTTTTATTTTTTGTTCATAGGATATTCAATAGGTGTAGCTTTTTTTTCTTCATGTTTTGTGTTTGCATCCTCTTGTATATTTTTTTTTTTTTTTGGTGGTAACTATATATACTTTATTGTTTTTGTTATGTAAATTTGCCTTCTTAACCCATAATGGATGTCAAAGTTGAATTTGTTGATTGGAAGTGTGATTCTCTTGAAATTATATTCATCATTTTTATTTAATAGTACCAAGTTCTTTTATTTTATTTTTTATTTAGTATGATAAGTTATTCAGCAAAATACATGACGAGTTCGAATTGAATTACAGAATTAGACCATGTTTGATAAGAGTACTGAATACTGAATGTTGAATACATCAATGAACGGTGAAAATACGTGTGTCTGAATATTGCATCCTGATCATTTAAGCTTGTTTTGATAATTGAGAACTAATTGTATACGAATAATGTAATTTGACTATATTAATCCTCATGATTAGGTATGTAAATGAGTCGAGATGGCTCGTGAGCTCGGTGAGCCGGCTCGACAAAAGCTCCAACTCGAATTCATGAGCTCGAGCTTTCTAACGAGTCGAGCCAGAGCTCATCTTTAATTGTTCGTGTCCTCGCGAGTTGGTTGACGAGTTTTTTTTTTCTTTTCTTTTTTTTTAAATTTAATTTTTTAAAATATAATTAATATAGAATAAATAATAAATTCTTATAAGTAATTAAATAAATAAATTACAAGAGTCATTTTTTTTGATTTTTTTGAATTATAATTTATATAATAAATTTCTAATAATATTAATTAAAAAAAATACACGAAATAACTTAGGCTCGAGTTCAGAAAAACAATACTCAAAGAGCTCGAACTCGTCAAAACTACCAAGCTCCACTCGAGTTCGGCTCGTTTACACCCCTACCCGTGATTGTTGAACATATATTTATTTTCTAACTAAATTATGAATAATATTTACTAAAATATTTAACTATGACCATTGTAATTATTGTATTATATTTATTTCAATTATTCCATTATTATTATTATTAAGATGAAAATGGGGAATGAAATAAGGTGATAATAATAATTCCGAAAGATACGGGCCCACTAAATCCTACACACAACCCCACCTTCTCCCTCCTTCCCAATCTCACCTCGTCACCACCTTCCTTCCTTGTTGAACCCCAATTTTTCTACTGCTCTCAATCTCAATCTCCTCCGTTCTTCCCACTCACAGGAGTAAATAAAAATAAAAACCCCAATTTCAACAATCGGAATCGGAACCGAGATATGGGGATTGATTACTACAACATCCTGAAAGTGAACCGCAACGCCAGCGACGAAGACTTGAAGAAAGCCTACCGCCGCCTCGCCATGATCTGGCATCCCGACAAGAACGCCAACAAGCTTGAGGCCGAGTCCAAATTCAAGCAGATTTCCGAAGCCTACGATGTACTCAGCGACCCTCAGAAGCGCCAGATCTACGATCTCTACGGCGAAGAGGGCCTCAAATCGGGCCAATTCCCCCCTCCCCCTCGCAGCTCTCGCGCCACCGCCCACAACCAGAGCTTCTACTACAACAACCACCAGCAGCATCCCAACCCTAATTTCCGATTCAATCCCAGGAATGCCGACGATATTTACGCCGAGATTTTTGGGGAGAGCAGTAACGGGAACGCCGCCGCTGGTAATAGTGCTAGCAGCAGCAGTAATGGAGCCGCCAGGAAAGATGGGTATTTCAGGAGCACCACGATGAACGGCGGTGGAGCTAGAGAATTTCCCGGCGGCGGCAGCGGATCCAGGAAGGCGGCGCCGGTGGAGAACGCGCTCATGTGTAGCTTGGAGGAATTGTATTCCGGTTCTACTCGGAAGATGAAGATTTCCAGGAATGTAATTGATTCTCATGGGTATGTTTACAGTTTACTGATTTTAAATTCCCGTTTATTAAATCCGATCATTCAATTTTTTTGGGATAATTATTTGCTTGTTTACTGTTTTACTCTAGGGTTCTTGATTTTGGGTTCGCCCCCCACCACCAATTCTGGTTCTTTGTTTTTTGAGCAGTTGACTTTCTTTGAAGTTACAATTGCTTAATACAATTGCATGTATACATGTTTGAAAGAAGACGTGCATTTTTATTTTTGAATTAAATATTTGAGTGGCCTCTCATTATCCACCATGTATGTGAAGTTTGTGCTGTGAAATATACTTGCTTTCTCGTTGACCATTGACTAGTCAAAAGCTCGTTGTCAAAATCAATTTGTTGCACCACTTTCTGTGGCTTTTAAGCTAAGATGAAATCTATCTGGATTTAGTATTGCTCATATAGTTTCCGGTGGACCGGTTCTTGACGTAGTTGCAATCATTCTTGCTCGTTTATTTGCGTAGAGGTGGTGATAGTATTATTACATGACGTGGAACTGAAAAAAACTGGAACTTTCATAGTTAATGAATTTGTCTGAGTTAAGACGAATCTAGCTGGATTTAGTATTGTTCATATAGTTTCCGGTTCTTGACTTAGTTGCAATCGTTCTTGCTCGTTCATTTGCGTAGAGGTGGAGATAGTATTATTACATGATTGTTGGACTGAAAAAACCCGGAACTTTCATAGTTAATCAATTTGTCTGAGCTTATCCTTGTTCGTTAGAATGATAAATAATAGCTTAAATCTCCCGTTATGCAGTTTCATGTATTTAGACCCTCGGAAATTGTAATAGTTGCCTGTTTGTATGCATTTGCATCATATTATGTGATTCTCCTAAAGGAGATGGCTATGACTTTTGTACTCGTTCAATGATGTTCGAACAAGTTATAAACGGATCTTTTGATCAGAGCCTATTATACCTTTTGCATTTGGTGCTATGAAATTGCTGATATCTGTGGCACTTCAGAAAATTGGTGTTTGTCTTAAAATTTGAGGTACAAGTGAGTTCAAGAATCGAGAATATGAAATAGTGGCAATTTCTTCTGTAGGGAGCTGGATGATTATTGGTCTATAATAAAATAATATGTGTAAAAGGTTTTCCTTTAGTTGAAATTTATAACTTTATAAATCCGGGTTTACGTTGCTTCGGCTTGTGTATGAGTGTGGAAGTGGTCGACCAGTGCAACAAGTCTACTGACGTGTTGAAACTGTCAATGAACTTATCAATCTACTGTGGGGTTACAGTTCACATGTTCTGTGCAAATATGGAAATTGGTTGAATTCTACTTTTATTGATAAAATGCCTTTAATGACTGAAATTGAAATCGAATTACACGACTTTTGATTTGGATTTCGTCCAAGTGTTTTTGAAGTGATTTGTGAAAAGAGCACCGTTTCCTGCATGAACTACTTTTACCTTCTGTAAATCTAAAGTGTTGGATATGTTCAGAGTCACATCGAGGAATGTAAACAGCCATTCAAAATATTATGCTACGTATGAACTTTTGCTCGGAAAACAAAGAACTAACATTTCAAGGTTGTGGATTTTTATTTTGCTGCCATTGAAGTTGTGTATCTTTGTGCAAAACTGTGGTACCAATTGATTAGTTGATTGAACTTCGTTTCCAATTAAATCTTTTGTATCTGGTTCACTTATGTTTGTATATTACACGCAAGCAGTTAGGAAGTCATGCTCGCTCAATGTAAAGGCGTGCATTGTAGAGGCCACGATGACTTTGTTTTTTGTCTAATAATATTCTATGGTTTCGGAACTTACGAGTTTAGTTCACTGTCCAGTTGCTAGATGCATTGGTTTTATGTTAAAATGTCCGAGTGGCGAGTACGATATAAATAATAGTACAGATTTAGATACATAGTAGGAGACGGTATCCGAATCTTTAAATACATAATGTTAACAATTAACATCTCCTCAAGCGTGTCGTTCTGCTTATGATTTATTTCCTGGAGTTCTATAGACCAAATTAAGCAGCTTTTATAGACATTATGAACCGAGCACTTCTCCACAGGTTGGTGTAAGACTCAAAATTTTATCTAAAAGTACTGATTTGCATATTTAAATTGAGTTAGTAAATTATATATTTGCGTCGTTTCATTTTGGTTGAATGATCGACTTTTGGTTTCTGTTGGATATTGGCAATTGCTTTAGGAAGACGGGTTTACTTGAAATAATATCAAATGTATTTACTGGATTGTGGTTATTGAGATATGTAAACACGCGTTTCTGCATAAGTGAACCGAGTAGCTATTATTAAGGAACCTATCCAAGTAATATGTATCGGAGGGCTGATAATTTATGTCGTAATTATGTGCTTAGTTATGTTGGAATATGCTGTTTTTCTAATATATTTTGTTTCTTCAAAGTAACTCTTACAATGGATATATACCCAATTTCCTTAGGGCACGTTCTGTTGGGGTGATAAAAGTGTGAGAGTATAATCCGACTTTATCACATGTTTTGGTTTCCCTTACTAGCGCCTTGAATAGATGAAGAGCCCGGTATCTAATCATCGAGCCAATTGATTATTTGTCCACTTAAATGGGATAGGACTGAAAACCCCAACATTTTCTAATGACTATTGTATATATATGTAATTGCATTAACCGAACATGCATTCGTGGATTGATTATCTTTTGACATGTATCTAATTATACGTGTTTATTGGGTTTCTTGATTTTACTACAATTCTTTTAATATGCTTTATATTGCAGCAAGCTTCGAGTTTTGGAGGAGATATTAACTATCGACATAAAACCCGGTTGGAAAAAGGGCACAAAAATCACATTCCCAGAAAAGGGCAATGAAGAGCCAGGTGTCATTCCAGCAGATCTCATTTTCGTGGTCGATGAAAAACCACACCCTATTTACACTCGAGATGGTAATGATTTATTGGTCAAGCAGGAAATTACACTCCTCGAATCTCTTACCGGAAAGACTTTAGAGCTTACCACATTAGACGGCAGAAACATTACGGTACCTTTGACCGAGATTATTAAACCTGGTCACGAAATTGCTGTCCCTAATGAAGGAATGCCCGTCTCAAAAGAACCTCGGAAAAAGGGTACCCTAAGAATCCAAATTGACGTCAGGTACCCTAAGAGGCTCACCGATTCGCAAAAATATGATTTGAGGAGGGTTTTGGGAGGGAATTCTTGATTTTTTACGCGTAGATAATATGCAATATTCGGGTGTATATATGAAATATTCTTGCTATTCGAATTGCGATGAATATATAAGAAAAGACTGTTCGGCGATACGCTAAGCTAAATCATATATTTATATGGGGCTTACTTGAGATTTTCTTTTTGGTTTTAGCTAAATCAGAATTTTAGTATACTACTTGTAAGGTAGAGAAGATAATTTTTGTTGATGAACAAGTTTTTTGAGTTTTTCTTTGATTGGGAAATTGTCCATCTTAATATTAATAAATATATTATTTTTAATGTATTTATTTATTATTTATTTTGTGATTGATGATATAAATTTGCCTTTGGTTGGGTGGGGTATATATCAAATAAAGGCTCTATTCTGTCTTTCTTGAAATTTCGCGAAGAGTAAATTAAAGACACCCCTTGAGGTAATGTTAAAATTACGAGGTAATTAAAACATTCTCTCAACTATAAATTTTATTACATTGTTTATTCATGCGGTGTCAAATTTAGGGAAATCTTCAAGATTATGTGAAATATTCTCCAAGTTGTGCTCGTTTTACCCTATTCGAGCTCCACGTTTTGAAACAAGATGATCATAAAATGTGTCTCTTGGCTTGTAAATATTAGATTGTGGTGCATCATAAACTGCATTTTTGCATAAAATGAGTACAAACTAATAACATTCTACGGAATCTAGAAGATTATGTTGAATTTGTTGCCATAAGAGCAGATGCGTAATAAAATTTATAGTTGAACGAATAGTTGTAATTACCCAAATAAAAAGAAGTTTTTGTAATTTGATCTTTAACTCTTTCACTAATTGAGGTCAAAAACAAATTTCAGTTGGTAGTTGAGAAATGGTGATATAGGTAACCTAAACATGTAAAAATCACTACTCACCAAAATTTGTTAAAAGCTTTTGTAGTATCAAGAACAAGTAATAATTTGAAATATAAGACATTTTCCTAACTGTAATAACATTTGGTTAACCAACTCTTCACTCTCTTTATAATTTTCTTCTAAAAAAATAAAAATAAATCTTAGTAATATACTTTTATTATGAATAAGGGAAAAGTAGAAATAGTGAATTGGCCAGATTTGTGCAAGACAATAGACATGAATAGATGGTTGAACCAACCCTCACTTGCAAGAATTAATACATGGTTTTTTTTATGTTTTGTCTTTGTGTTTTTTTTTTCGGTAATGAAAGAATCTGCAACCAACTATATGTGCACTGAGTAAACTTACATTCTTGTATAATAGCTTGCAAACCATACGAGAGACATAAACCACACTTGATTAACTATGTGTGATAAACTCGACCTAGCGATTATTAATAAGATAATTTGAACATGGATCAGTTGACACGGGCCCACTTGCTCCGATCAGTAGATCATCTTTTACAGGACTACAAAACACAGCTTCTTTTATGCATCACACATGGCGCAATAAATGTAGCATATTCAATAAATTAGGCGCGATACGGTACCAACTACCAAGAGAAGTTAGTTTATTTTAGTTTTTTTTTTTTTTTTTTTTTTTTTTTTTTTTATATTATTATTTATTTATTTTGAAATAAGTTATAGATCACAATATGATCTGAAATTAATATGAGCAATCAATTTGAGTAGCCAAAAAAATAATGCAATTCTAAAAAGAGAAAAATGGATCAATAGAAATATCCGTGATGAGGACAAATCGAAGTCTACTTGCAAATGCAGAATTGTCCACAAGATTAAATATAGTTTGTGTGCCATACCTTTTAGGGCTGGGTCGGGTCGGACAATTATCGATCAATTATGTACCCAACCCAACCAACTGATTTTGCTGAATGTTGAAAACCTTATCGGCCCGACCATTATGAGTCGGATAATAATTGACAACCGAATTACAATTATATATATATTTATTATTGAAAAATGTTGGTTGGTCGGGTAATATCGACAGATCGACTTTTGAGTAAACTGAAAATCATCGACCAGACTCATTTATTCGCAGTCGGTTAAAATTACTGCCCCGATTATATGAGTCGGTTAATTATCAATTTTTCCGACCGAGAAAAAATTGTCGAAAATGGGTCGGTTGGTCAATAAAACCGACCGATGCCGAACCCTAATCCATTGATCAACGAATATCAATTTATTTTTCTAATAAATTAAAATTTGAATAAACACACAAACACTGGCCAACAAAAAACTATTTCTGACAAACGAGAACAAATATTATTATTTATGTATTTTTAAATCGATAGTTGATAATTATAATCCATTTTGTTTATTTTTTTAATTGATAGTTGAAGTAAAGGGTATTTATAAAAATCGAATAATTTACCAAACTTCTTTGAAATATAAGATATATTTATTTCTTCATGTTTAACTAACTAATCAGGCGGACCAGAGTCTATTAATTCAAGAATTAATTGTTAGTTAATTCCTGGCTAAAACAAAAACCACGACATGCACAAATCTAATTGTCATTAAGAGCTTAATCGTTACTTAATTAAACTCTTTTATATATTTTTAATTCAAGAATTTATTAATACTCAAAAAAAAAAAAAATTCAAGAATTTATTATAGTTAAAAAGTAATGTGTTCTTGTTATATTTTATAATATATACTTTTCTTTTTTAAATCTTAATGCAATGCCACTTTTTATGGCACTAAAGTAAGTGGAATAAGCTAAAGGTCACTTGTAAACTACCTTTGATTAGAATAGTTACATTCATTTTATTAGTTTTACATAAAATCAATTAGCTAATAAATCTTAAATTTGTTGACAAAAATTAATTTTGAAAAAATTATGTCTAACCCTTTCAACTCACCTAATTAAAAAAAAACATTGAAACTTTGATTTAACTTCAATTTTATCCATTGACCCATTGACCGAACGGTCAACTTTTTCCCCCTTTTTTTATATTTTTAATAATATTTTTTTCTTTTACTTTCACTGTTATAGTCTGTTAACCGCTATTATATTATTTTGATCGACATTGACTGGTTTTTTTTTTTTTTTTTTAAACTTTATATTAACTGGTTTCAAAATTGTGGTAAATTAGGGTTTCAAAATTTAATCGTGCGTTTTGAAAGAGTTAATGATATCTTTTATTATGTATGAAGTTTTAGGTTTATTGATAAATTAATTTCTTTTGTCCTAAAGCTATTTTATTAGAGTTTAAATGAATTTGTCCATAAATTAAAAAAAGAAAAAGAAAAACATGAGGGGGAAAGTATGAGTTGTTACGGTCTAGTACGTACGGATGTACTTTCTCTTTGGTGGAAAAGTGACAAATTATTTTTGGAAGTTTATAAATATGTGACGTGGCATCTTATTTAATTCATTGTGTCACATCCCTTTATATTCGGTTTTACATGTGCCACATGAATTCCTTGTCCCCCAAATCTTATCTTTATCTTTTTTTTTTTCCTTTTCTTTTCCGCTTTAATTAATATTTTTCTAGAAAAAAACATTATTATTTGAGTTATATGGTCGTTCGTACATTTGGTATTTAATGATTGAATTTTTCAATGTAAAACAGGTTCAATCAATCTAATGTCAACATTTGTTATTTTCTTCATCGATCTGATTATCAGGATTGTGCATTGATCGATTTGCAAAATTTAATTCATTTATTGTACAAATTGTAGGTATAATTAATAACAATCTGCGTAAACGAAAATACTTACTTGTTTGTCGAAAAGAGGAATTGTGAAAACCACAAAGAACGATCGAGGCTTGCCAAAGCAATTCCCTTAAGACAATATTTGCGGGCTGTCAACGGTGCACACTTCTTCCCGGTAGTCTCCCAAGGTACAACGATCGGTTGTCAAATATTTGCACGAATATTCGACCCACGGCGAACTTGAACAACGAACGAAACTTTGACGAAGAAAAAGAAGAATATGAAGAACTAACTCTCAATTACCGATTAAATTCAGTACAGAATTGGCCAGATTCTGCATTTATTTATATGTTGTAGAGATCCATTCACAGAGGGTTGCAATGGTTGGAAAAGAAGCAGAAGGATGTGCCTGTTCTTTTTACGAGTTAAAAAAACGTAGGAAAATTAATTGGTCATGACCAATTAATTAAATATTTGGTTTGGGCCAAATATTTTATTATTTGGATTTTTGGTCAAATAATTTGACTAATTACTAAATGTCCCCAAAAGTAATATTTGTAGACACCTAAACCCAAACTAGTCCTACCACTCGATCACATCGAGCGCACATCTTTTGAACTTTAACCATTTAATCAAGACAATTTTCATTCACTTTACTTCATGATTATGATCAAGTAAATAAATGAAATTAATCTTTTCATAATTTAATTAATATTACTCAATATTAATTATTGGAAATCATGAAAATTCCAACAATCCCCCACATGAATAAAATTGTTCTTCCAATCTTATAGCATAAGATCTATTTGTCAAAATTCCTTAGTGAATAGTACAACATCGGGATAGGTGGAATATTTCATCTTGAACCTTCCCTAGTTAAAGCTTGTCGGATTTACTTAGCCAATCGGTGAATTATTTCATCTCGAACCGTCAGCTGTTTGTGTAAACCAAGACAATAAACTTAACACCATACTAAACGAACTTGTTCAAGTTCTCGGTTGTGTTCGTTTTGGCCCTGAACATCCTCGGGTTCTGCGAGTGCTTTAGAGAATTCCAACCTTTAAGTATTCTCAACGAGCCGACCCAGCTCACACTAACATAGGTGACCGCATCTATAAAGAGTATCCTACTATACCCCACTTGTAATTTACAAGATATATACGTCATTAAAAGCAATAGCTTAACATTTTTGAACGTCGTAGGTTGCACTTATTGCATCATAGGAATAAGATGGAGTTAAAACTCCTAAGTGCTCCATTCATTTAAGTTACACAGAACTGGTTGTCCTATTGAACTTGGTCCGTGGGATCTCCAGTCGCCAAGTTAGGTTTCCGTATAAGGTAACTTAGTTATTTAGGCTTTAAACTTATTCCCCTCGATGCACATTTAACTCTCTCGCTAGATAAACCTTATTAAATGGATCCGCTAGGTTATCTTTGAATTTCACAAAATCAATGGAGATTATTTCATTCGAGAGTAAATGTCTCACATTATAAGTCTACGACGAATATGTCGAGACTTAGTAAAGTATAAGAGCAATTATTAATTGATTATATTCAATTATATTGCCTCACTATATCCCTCAATGACATATACGAACATATGTACGTGACTCGTAGTCAAAATA